TCTTCTTCTTCTTCTTCTTCTTCTTCTTCTTCTTCTTCTTCTTCTTCCTCCTCCTCCTCCTCCTCCTCCTCCTCCTCCTCCTCCTCCTCCTTCTGCATTGACAAGGAGCTTTGTTATGCCACAGAACAAGAAGTCTTCAGATGAGATGTGTCCAACTTGGTTAAACAGAAAACTCATAGAGGGTCTTAGCCTGGATTCCACAAGTTGCACATCCAAACTGTTTTACACTTCTGTTCTACCTGCCTTGAGTTATCAATGTTATTTATTTTCTGCTCTCATAGTGATTGGGTAACTATAGAAATCCCAAACATCCAAACAGGAAGAATTGTAGGCAAAGTTGGGTCAAACATAAAAATATGTACACACATATGACCATTGTTTAGAGCATGCAGATGTTTTACCGAGTATCTCCCTCTGAGAATGTTCCAGAAGCTTGTAGAACAGAGGATTATTTGGGTCTCCTGTAACTTCCACCACTGAAAGGAGATGGAAAATCTGATGGCTGGTATCAGTAGACACTTGAGGATAGCTTTGCAAAGACAGAGAGATCAGAGAACTCAACTGCCAGGAGCCCCAGAAGTTACTGAGTTACTAAGTATCAGAATGAAACTAGTTTGAGGCTAGCAGATCTATTCATTAGCCTAAATGTCTCCTTGGATTTGTGCAGTAATTTGGTTTTTTTTTTCTTCTCTGTTTTGTCCCCCTTAGGAATTCTTGCTCTGTGACTATCCAGCCTACACCTATGCCCAAAGAAAGATGCCTATATCTTAACCTCCTAATTCTTGATTTCCCTGTCTTTTTCTTTTCTCCTATCAGTCTCTTTGTTCCCTGACCTTTCTCCTTTCCCTCAACAGGCAGTCTCTTGTAAACATTCAGGGTGGCCCTTCTCCTCCAGATACGATGCTCATGGGTGCAGACACTCAGTGTCTCTAGCAAGTAAAGTTGTAGGAAACTTCCTGTGGCTTCTATTTCTACTCTTCCTATTCCTTTGTGTAACTGTGTCACAGGAATGACTTCAGAAAAGTTCAGCAAACCTTCTAGAAACATCTCTGGCTCAAAAGAGCTTTCTAGCTCAAATCCCAACCAACCCAAAATGTTCATGCTGTGCCAGCGAGGCAAGCACTGAGCTAGAGGGTTTCTTATCAGTCCTCTCTGTAGGGATCGGAGCCGAGAGCATGGGAGCCGAGAGCATGGGAGCATGGTCAGTGCCTCCCACCTATCCACGTGCACCAGAGCTCCCATATGACAGTGGAATGCAGAATCATTGGGAGGAGTCTTGTACTCGCTGGAAGCACCAGAAGGAAGGGCTAGCCAGGGCTACATAGTGAGACCCCCACCTCAAGCAACCCTACCTCTCCCCCCACCAAATATCCTATGGTCAATAAGCACAGTTTTCTCTTCTTTCCCTTCTAGTTGGTTCCCTGGATCTGATCCTTGCATGTCCCTATACAAGTCTAGATGGACATTTATGGCCCAAGTGTGTATTTCAGGTCCATATAGGAGAGTGAGGTTTCAATTAGGAACACTATTTTTGAGATTCTAAAGCTCAATTCAAGTGATGTGTTAACGAGAAACTCAGATCTAACTGTGTGAGTCTCTGATAGTTGTTCCCTTGTGGGTGATCTGGTAACACACTTAGGTACCAGGCCCCTTTCTTACACACAGTGGCTGTGACCTGCCTTCCCAGAGTTCACCCAGAGCCCTAACAGCGTCCCACTACACCTGAGGTCCTGCTGCTGTACCTGGTGATCAAAGGAGTCTGCTGGAGAGGTGTCAGTGCAGCGAGTTCTAAGAGGGTTTCTCCCCCCACTCCCCCCGGTTTCAGTTTGGAAACTTGCCTAGAGTTGTTTTTATTGACTGGCCACATTTGGTGGATGACGGAAATAATTTAAATATATTCATTCATTCTTTCTTTCTCTCTCTCTCTCTTTCTTTCTTTCTTTCTTTCTTTCTTTCTTTCTTTCTTCCTTTTTTTTTGTTGTTGAGATAAAAAACTAGTAGTAGTATTGTCGGTCCTGATAGGTTTCTCAAACCCACCAGACTAAATGAAGAAGAATCTGCCATATCATCCTCCTAGCCAATCAGAGACACCCACGCCAACCCTCTCTGGACATCCCTCTTTCTTCTTTTCCCATGCTAGAGCTCTTTAAAGGGCCTTGTACCAGTCAGCCCTCAATGTCTTTGCCTGACCCAGGGGCAGCCCGATTACCTTTCTAGGGTAAATAAATCTCCTTTGTGCTGAGTATTTGGTATCCAGCTGTGTTCTATGCCAACTCCGAGCTCTCCCAACCCCCTAGCTTCTGTAACCTGAGTCCTCTCTAGAGGTACCTCAGAGGCTTGTCTGGGGTATCTTGAAGCAAGATTCATGTTTAGATTTATTTTATTTCATGTGTATGCATGTTTAGCTTACATGTATGTATGCACACCACATGTATGTTTGGGGCCCACAGAGATCAGAAGAACCAATGGTTGTGAGCCTCCACATGAGTGCGAAGAATTGAACCAGGGTCCTCTGCAAGAACAAGTGCTCTTAACCACTGAGTCATCCGTCCAGCCCAATATTAAAGTTTAAATAGAAGGCTAGGGGGATCCATTTTGCGCAGTCTCAGCCACAGTGTGATCCTGCTGTGACCCATTACATCATCCCTGGAATCCCATAAGGTGATATGGCGCATTGTTACATCTGGGTGAAGTGTCTTTCCAGGAGCTAAGTCCTCCCTCCGGCTGGTGCCTTTTCCTAGTCAGGGAGTTAGATTCTTGGAGAAAGTCTCATTTCTGAGATTCATTGTTTCAACAGTCTAACAGTTAGACTGAGGTCTATTCATAATATCTTCATTTCTGCCTGGCTAGTTACATTGTAAGGTTTTTCTTCTGGTGCTGGGAATGTTCCTAAGCTAGGGGTGGTGTTTGTACAACCCTGTCAATATGAGGAATGCCACAGAAGTAACTTAAAATAGTTGCTTTTTAAGTTGTAGAAGTTCCACTTCGGATAAAACGTCATTCTCTAAAATGTACAGCCTGAAAAAGGAGGTCTTTTGCATGTAAAATTCTGTGAGAAATAAACAAAAATAAAACTTCAAGTAGTCCTGAGTCACTTGTCACCCATCATAATTGTTTTGAACACAGCATGAAGGTCCTTGTGCCCACAGATCTCCAGAGAAACCAGAAATGTTAAGGATTATCCTCTCAGAGGAATGGACAAAAACGTGTTCTTCTGTCCAGAAAGCTGAGAATTGGAGGTGATTGACAGCCTGCTGATCTGCATTATCTGCTGAGCCAGGCTACATCAAAACCCCACAGCCAAGACCAGAGGTGGCTACGAATCTAAATGACCTTTATATCACCTGTACAGCCAGGGCCCCCAAGCTCTCACAGCCAGGACCAGAGGTGACTGATAGTCCAAATGACCTCCATACTAGCTGCATGACCCAGACCAAGTCAGAGCCTTCCCTAGGCTCGTCTCCAGAACCCATCTTCTAGGAGGAAATAATGTTTACCCTGAGTTGAGTTGCAATGTAATCATGTTTCTTTGTGTACCTGGAATTGTATTACACCAGGAAAGATTTTTCAAAATTATACTGTGTTTAAATATGCTGGCAGTAATTCCCTGGCAGACTCTCTGAGGATTGATCCAGGTGGAGGATGTCAATCTGAAGTGAGTTTTCATTCTCATCTCTTCGAGGTTCACTCCCTGGCCGCCGTGAGCACCTGCAGGGGCTCTCTCACACAACTGGCTTCCTCTTTTCCTCTCTTGATGCAGAACACACAGTTCTCATCTCAAGCCAAACATCTGTGACTATGGCCAGGAACATAGATTTAAGTTCTGCCCAACAGCATGTTCTAACTAGTAACAGTTTCATGAGGTTTTTATAGTAACAGAACAAAAAGCTCATACATTAAAGTATTCTTTTTTTTCTTTATTTTATTGGATACTTTATTCACATTTCAGATGTTATCCCCTTACCCCATTTCCTCCCCGCCCAGGAACTCCCTATCTTATCCTCCCTCCTCCTGCTTCTATGAGGATGTGCCCCCCCACCCACTCCCACTCCCACATCCCTACCCTCAAATTCCCCCCACACTGGGTTTCCAGCCTTCATGGTAAAGTATTCTTAAAACTGCATTGTTGTGGAACTGCACAGGTGGCTTTTGCTGTTCTTACAGAGGACATGAGTTTAAATCTCAGCACCTACATTGGATGGTTCACAACAGCCCGTAACTCCAGCTCTGAGGATCTGATACCCCGTTCTGGTCTTTGTGGCCCCACACCCGGTACAGACATAGATAAATAATTAAGTAACTCTTTATTTTTTGTTTTGTTTTGCTTTTTGAGACAAGGTTTCTCTGTGTAGCTGCGAGTTTAGCTACACCACTTTGGCTCCCACCAGGTCCCACTCGTGCACCTGCCCAGGAGCAATCTGGATTCAGGGAACACACACACACACACACACACACACACACACACACACACAGAGTTAATTGTTAATTTTTGGCATGCTGAAACTTGCTTAAAGGCTGGGCACTCCTAAACCTCCGTGCTAGCAATTGCTCCCCTCCTGTACTCCTGAGACTCCTAAACCTTCCCTGCTACCCCAGGTCCCATCAGAGAAGTGGCCACTCGCCACTTACCGGAATTCTTACATGGCTGGTTAGCTTTCACTCTTGTAGCTCCGACATCTGATCCATCTTCCCAGTCATGGCTATTCTCTGTCTCCTTCCAGTTCCTAGCCTGCACAAATCCAAATGTCCCACCTCAGTCTACCTGTTCAACCATTGGCTGTTGGCTCTTTATTGATGGATCAAAAAAACCAATGGGGTGGGGCTGGAGAGATGGCTCAGCGGCTAAGAGCACTGACTGCTCTTCCAGAGGTCCTGAGTTCAATTCCCAGCAACCACATGGTGGCTCACAACCATCTGTAATGGGATCATTCATACCCTCTTCTGGTGTGCCTGAAGACAGCAACAGTGTAGT